AGTACCTTGGGGAGCTTACGGTCTAACACATGGATGTACAAACGGTTTAGTTTTTCTAATTGAGTAAGACACACATAGATAACAGTGCTGTGTCATTAAAAGAAAAAAAAGGTGCTTAGGAAGTCATTAGTGCCTGGAGAAAGCAGTTGTAATGGAGTGGTGGAGACAGAAGTTGGCTTGCAAGAGGAGGAGGAGTATGTGGGTGGTAAGAAAGTGAAGGCAGCAAGCTAGTAAGGGCTACACCAAAGGCAAGATGGGAGATGAGGTAATAGCTTAAGGGGTATCCAAAGGCTTGTTTAGGGAAGGGAAGACAGACCAAGAGCCCTTCCTTGGTTCTAAATGTCTCTCCTTCCATTTTGCTCCCAGATTTTCATCACCACCATGCAGGGGTTCTCATCTAGTTCCAGTTCCTATAACACATCTACCATTGAGAGCACCTCTGTCCTGTTCCCTAGAACTTTCTTAATGAGCCACTTTCTTTCTTTGGGCCTTCCACCAAAATGTCTAGGTCAGAACATCACTTAGGGCTGGAAGAGACCTTGGAAATCACCTAGTCCAATTACAGAACCACTAAATGCCAGAGCTTGAAGAGCTCAAGTATAGAATGTCAGATCTGGGAGAACTCTTGAAACATAAAATAGAACACGAGGGCAGGAAGGGCCCCAGAAAAAAATATGAGAGAAAAACATAAATGAGAACTGATAGACCTTAAAGATATAGATGGGACACAGGCTCATTTAAGAAACTTGCCTTGATACTGAACTGGAGACAAGGAAATCAGAATTCACATATATTTAGCCCTTTTAAGTTTGTCAAGTGTTTTCCTCACAATAAGTCTGTGAGGCAGGCAGTGCAAATATTACTATCCCTAGTTTTACAGATGAGGAAAATGAGACCTAAAAAGGTGACATCAGTTGCTCAACATCATCCAGGTAATAAGGGTGAGAACTAGTATTTGAACCATGGCCTCTTTGCTCCAAGTTCAGAATTCTTTCCACTACAGCGTCTTACAAATGTCCCTACAGAGATAACACATCATGAAAGAATTTCTGGCTATACAACATCCAATGGAGGCTGTAGAATCACCTTTCCTGGAGATTACTCAGAACAGAAACTACGTTTTTTTTTTTTGTTTTGTTTTGTTTTGTTTTGTTTTTGTTTTTGTTTTTTGGCTAGGCAATGGGGTTAAGTGACTTGCCCAGGGTCACACAGCTAGTAAATGTTATGTGTCTGAGGCCAGATTTGAACTCCGGTGCTCCTGAATCCAGGACCAGTGCTCTATCCACTGTGCCACCTAGCTGCCCCTCAGAACAGAAACTATGAACAACCCCCAACTTCTCTGCCAACACCCAACTTCTCTCCCATAATTTACTATCCAGTTTGGAGAAGTGTTTCCCTATCCAGAGACAAAGGTTGGGGGAGGTAACTCGGGTTCAAAGGAATTTTAAAATTTTCTTTTTCTTCCAGCATACAGGTAAAAATGAATGATCAGTGGACTTCCACATACGGAGTCTCAGTGGGCAATGCACAAGACATCACACTCTGGGACGGGGAAGGCATAACAAAAGTGTCAAGCCACGGTGGGGCCTGTATCCATTATTTGGAGATCGAAACCAGCGCTGGGAGAATTTTTAAACTCGGGAAGCCTGTCGGCAAGAAGTTTGATGAATCCCCCCCTCATGGGAATATGGTGCTCAGTGGCATCAAGGGTGTATATGAGGCTATATGTATCAAAAAACTGATATGTAAGTGGTCATAAATTCCTGAAATAACCACCATAGGTGGAATAATATGGAAACCTAAATGAGCCCCTGCCGAGGACACCTCAGCTGGGTCTACTGAAAACATCAAAGGGCTTCCCAAGACACCTCAGCTGGGTCCCCGTTGAAGGCACCTCAACTTAACAACGCTGCTGCTTAGCATCCTACAACTACTGCCTGCTCTACTAAGCCATTTCTCCCTGCTAGGAAAAGCTCTAAAGCTATAGTTACCCTGAGTTTTTTTAAGGCTATACCATGACCTGGGTTACTCTTCCAGGGACCTGGAGCAAATGGCTGGCTTAAGGACCCTGGAATCTGGGAGGGGAGAGGGTACCCATGACCCAGGTGATGCCACTCCCCTGGAAGCTGCTGGTCTAAAAGTGAAGGGAGGAAAGGAGTTAAGATTGTGATGGGGGAGAATACCCTGAGGAGATTTAAGAGTCTAATCAGTCAATAAAGCTTCTGCAAAAGCTGTGTCCCAGGTTGTAAACTGTGTTCTTTGTTGGGAAATGAATTTGGGGGTAATGGGGACAAATGTGGTAGCAACAGAGGTTCTCACTCTGATATAAGAAACCCTCAAAACAGGAAAAATAGAGGCTGTCTGCTGTGGCAAGGGGAACTGAGTAAGTTTAGGAGATAGCAATCCTTTGATTACTTCCTGTAGGACCAAAAGGCCATGAAGGATGTGTATTCAAGTCCAAGGAATATTTGGGTACTTTCCCCATGTCCTTTTTCTGAACTTTGGGTATTAGAACACTGAGGGTATCACCAGTAAGGAAACCTGGGTTCAAGTCGTGATTCTGACATTTACTAAAGCTATGGGGCCGTGGTGGATTGACTCTAACCATCCTACCCCACCCCTGACTCAGTTTCCTCATCTGTAAAAAGGGGGAAATAATTTTGCACTGAGCTACCTCATAAGGTTGGAAGGAGAATGCTTTATAAACTGTGAAATTCAAAGCAAATGGAAGGAATGATGGCAATTTGTGACCTTTTCTGTTAAATATATTATGAGCTCCCTCCTATAATAATAATAGCTAACATCTATATAGTGACTATGTGTGCAAATCACTGTGGCTAAGCACTTCAAAAATGTTATCTCATTTGATCTTCACAGCAACCCTTATTATCATCAAACAGAGGTTAAATGACTTGTCCAAGGTCACGACACTACTACACGTCTGAGGTTCAGTTTGAACACAGATCTTCCCAACTCCAGCACCAGCACTCTATCCACTGTGTCACCAGCTGCCTCCTCCTATGGTCAAGATTCTGTGACAGTTGGTGTGGGGAGAGGGTGTGTGCAGATGTTTGTTGTAATTTTCTGAGAGTTCTGTGTGCCCACACCTGGCTAGTTTCCCTTTTTCTTCTATTTATAATGAGCATCAGGCTGTCATATGATAAAATAATTAACCTGTTCCAGGGGTTAAGGATATGATTTGGCCACCACATGTCATTCTGACAACCCATGGAAAGCCTATTCTCTCTCCACTTTTACACTCTCTGGCTGCCATCTACCCCGACCTGAGCTGGCCCAAGCTTCAAAGATACTTAGAAATAGGATCTGCAGAAGGAGTTCTTACCTTTTGTATCATGGAGCACATTGGCATCTGGGGAAGCCTATGGCACCTTCTCAGAATAAGTTTATAAATATATAAAATAGGATATGTAGGATTACAAAGGAAACTGGTTATACTGAAATAGACATCAAACTATTTTTTAAATAAAAAAACAAGTTTAAGCTTTTAAAAAACAAGTTCACAGACCCCTAGGTTAAGAATCCCTGATCTAGAATATGCTTCAAATCATCAAAAATATTAAATAACTCTGATCTCTGTCCTTCAAGCTACATCATTTGGTTTCTTTCTTCCTCCTTCATGAGCCCCCAGACACAGCATGCAAGAACTTATAATGACAAGGACAGTTAGGTGGCACCAGCCCTGGAACAGGAGGACCTGAGTTTAAATCCAGCCTCAGACACTTACAAACTGTGTGACTCTGGGCAAGTCACTTAACCCTGATGGCCTCACCAAAAAAAAAAAAACCAATAATAATTTGTAATGACAGGCAATGGGTTCCATGCTGGACTAGTCACAAAGAGAGGTATAATCAACACCCACATTGTGAAGGACTTGGGGCCAGCCTCCCACTTCTGACCTAGATGTACTAGATACCCCACTTCTTTCTATATTTGTCTTACTCCTCCAACCTGCTCTCACACTAGCAGATCTAAGTTCCCAGAGAAAGACTACTACCACATGGTTACAACCAAACTCTCTCACATATTAGAAGTAGCCATTTAAGAAAGAATACACTTCTCACCACTCTGGCTCTTGAATGTCCATCTAATTAATAGTTTTCTTTTTATATATTCATTTACTTGTTTGTTTATTTGTTTTTAACATTTTTTTCTTTTTAAATTTTGAGTTCCAAATTCTCTCTCTCCCTGAATTTATGTCTTGTACCCAGTGCCAGCAAAGAGTCTCCTATAATCTCTTCCTGACCAGTTGTCTGACCCTGTTACTATCTCTGAGATAAGAACTCCCAAAGCCACTGCTGTATGACTGTGCCACATGTGTGGGTGGGTTCCAGACAGGCCTCCACCCCAGTGTCATAGACTTCTCCTCTTAAGTTTTCTTAAACTTAACATCTTGTCCCAACCTTTTGTTGGCTCTGCCACTCTAAAATTTGATTTGAGGCAATCCACCATCTTGACTCTGCCTTCATTTAATATGTTTTCTATGTAGACCACCAGCCACTCATAATATCATTTTCAGATCTTAAACATAACTATTTACCTAATAAGACAGAGGAAATGATGATATAGATCAGGGGTAAGAAATCTGTAGCCTCAAAGCCACATGTGGCCCTCTAGGTCCTCAAATGCGGCTCTTTGACTGAATCTAAACTTCATAGAACAAATTCTCTCAATAAAAGGATTTGTTCCGTAAAACTTGAACACAGTCAAAGGCTGTACCCAAGGACCTAGAAGGCCACATGTGGCCTTGAGGCCACAGGTTCCCCACTCTATAGGATATTAATTTATTAAAGCAAATACGTAAATAACAAAATACTTAAATAAACCCATCACACTCTCCCACAGGACATTCAATAGTTTTCTTGGAAGGAATGGGTACACATCTATAGCAACCTAGCAGGGAAAACATGAGGGAGGATGATGTATGTGCTTAGTATAACACAGCTCTAGACTGCAGCTTTCAGTGTTCTTGGTCTGTTCAGAAACCACCCAGGACTGCTTCTCTACTCCGCACATTCCATGGTTGTTCATCCTCCCCATTCTTTAGCTAGGGAAATCTCCACTCTTACTCAAATCTAGACTTTACAAGCTTTTTGAATTAGCCATTACCCTTAAAAGAGAGTTTGGAAAGTGTTAGCAATTAATGTGAATAGCAGTTCTCTTTAAGCCAGACAGTTGCCAAGGTCATCAACGTGGATATCTCTGAACTAGACAGAACAGCCCAGGAAGTTACTCACTCATGAGAATGCTGCATTGTCCAATAAGAACAGAGGTCACTGCACCGCAGTTCAAGTCCATTCTTTCAGCCAGCTCACTAGGATGAAAACCCCTCTCTGCTTTTCCTTCTTTCCTCATAAAACATATCGAATATGGAAATTAGAGGAGGTACCTAACATGCCTCTGCTCATAAGTCTTCAGCAAGGTAGTCTGTCTCTTTGGCTCTCTAAAAATTTTTCCTTCATGCTCAAATTTTTTTGGTTTTCATAAATTTTTTAAAAAAACATTTTCTGTCTCTTTGTGGAATTAATTGGTTCCCACATTAACAAGGCATCACTCCACATTATTAACAAAGAGATTCAGGTCTGCAAATACATACCACCATTTCCTCTCCAAAAATGTCCAATATTTCATCTAAAAATAGTTTCTTCATATGCATATTTTAGCAGTATACATTAAAACAAAGTTCGTTTTCTACTCAGATTAGGTATTAAAATGTTCGTCCAATAATAGTGATAATATCTTTCATTTTTGATAATTAATGTAAATATCTTTTACACAAAAAACATTTTTATACTCTTTTCTTCATTAACCGCTCCTCATGAAGAGGGGCCTACAGAGACAGACTCTTCGTTTTTGTGATTTATTAAAACAATCAGGTAACATACAAACCCACCCCTCCTCCTAACCAGTCACAAGGGATGATAAAGAGGGAAGGATTGGACAAGTTTTAGGAATCAGGATGTTTTTAGCACTTCTTCCTGCCTGCTTTAGATGTGCAGTTTAACGAGACACTGTAGGGCTCCTCCACCACTAAGCTCTAGAAGCAATCTTACTTTTCAGAGCTCTACCCTGCTCCTCTTGGAAGGGGAAAGAGAAGTAAAGTACTCTCCTCCCCTCTGGCCACTCAAGAGGAAAACTCCACGTGAAGGACAGCTTCAAAATCCCATAAGATAGTCAAGAAGAAGGGCCAAACAAGAAATGAAGAGAATTACAAGACATAAAATGAACAATTTTGATTACATTAAATTAAAATGGAATTGCACAAACAAAACCAATGCAAGCAAAATTAGAAGGAAAACAAAAAACTGAGGTGGGGGGGAATTTCCAAGTATCTCTGATAAAGGCTTCATTTCTCAAACATGTAGAGAACTGAGTCAAATTTATAAAAATACTGGTCATTCTTCAATTGATAAATGGTCAAAAGATATGAACAGGCAATTTTCAGATGAAGAAATCAAAATTATCTATAGATATATGAAAAAACACTCTAAATCACTAAGGATTAAAGAAATGCAAATTAAAACAGCTCTGAGGTACAACCTCATTCCTATCAGATTGGCCAATATGACAGCAAAGGAAAATAGTAAATATTGGAGGGAATATCAGGAAAATGGAATATTAATGCACTGTTGGTGGATTTGTAAATTGATCCAACCATTCTCAGGAGTAATTTGGAACTATGATCAAAGGGCTACAAAACTGTGCTTACCCTATGATCCAGCAATATAACTACGGTCTGTA